AGGAAGACCGTACATGTTTTCTTAAAATCAATGGCCAGCACATTACTGTAAAACCTATTGATTAAAAACACAAAGTATAATGTTAGTCATTTAGTCTGTGAAGTGATGCAATAAGGGAAGAAATTTATTCTCTGGCTCTTGCATTAACCTTTTATTGACTACTTGCATACCCATAATTAACACACACTTTAGCTAAAGTGGTTAATTTCAGCATGGAGACCAGTGTTCACTAATGTAGCTGTGGTCCTCATCCTCCAAATGTAAGTGTAGCCCTGGGGGAATCAGCAGGCAGTGGGGCCCTGCATGAGTTACACCTGGGAGACGAGAGGAGGGGAACCTCTGGACAGTCGGCTGACAGGCCAGCCAACGGGACACCTTTCAGCTGCTTCCTGTTACGTCACTAGGTCGTTCAGGGAGAACCACTCCCAAGTAGCAAGAGTTTTGAGGGTAGCTAGAGTCCTTTGAATTGAAATAATGTGAATTTGGGAGGGAGAGAGATGAAGCACATATTATTTTCCATTGCTCCCCTTGCAATGCTGCATAAAAGGAACAGGGTTTTCTGAGTAGATCTGACTTTATTTGTTAACCCTTCAGGAGGGGAGTAGAGAGCGCAAGGTTGAAAGGGAAAACTGTAACTTCCTTACTGTTTGGCTGAGTTTCTTACTGTTTGTCTGGGCTCAGAATGATCTGCTATCCTTGATAAGGAAATTTTTAGGGAAATTTTTTTAACTTTCTTTAGAAAGGTCATCCAGCTCTGGTCATTAAAACTGTTTTGTTTTGTTTTTTGCGGTACGCGGGCCTCTCACTGTTGTGGCCTCTCCCGTTGCGGAGCACAGGCTCCGGACGCGCAGGCTCAGCGGCCATGGCTCACGGGCCCAGCCGCTCCGCGGCATGTGGGATCTTCCCGGACCGGGGCACGAACCCGTGTCCCCTGCGTCGGCAGGCGGACTCTCAACCACTGCGCCACCAGGGAAGCCCTGGCTTATTTTTGCACAAAGGCCAGTGTGGATGACACCAGCGCACTCTTATTTTCTGGGTAGAAATTTGTCCCCACTGGAAATATTATTGGAAACGAAAACAAAAGCCGGGGATTTCATGCTTTCACATGATCTCTGCACACACTGTACTGTATCAGCAGCATCTCAGTTTGGAGAGAGGACTATCAACATGCACCTGGCAGGCAGGGCCACGGCAGTGGATGTTGTAGAAGGCAGGAGGGCACCGAGGGGTGGGATGCATGGCCGGCATATCAGCCAGGACTCTTTGGGTTGCAAGTGACAGAAAAACCTAACTCAGACAGTAACAAGCTCGTGCAACTGAAAAAGTCTAAGCATACCAGGCTTCAGGTGAGACTCAATCCAGCTACTCAAACCATATCACCCAGGACCCAGCCCCTTGCTGCAAGGTAGCAAAATGACTATGGTGGTTCCAGATCACACATCCTAATAGTTCCCAGGCCAGGCGATAAGAAAGTCTCTTCCCTTAGTTCCCAGAACAATCCTTTGATTTACTCTCTCAATCTTGCCCTGGAGAGGGTCACGTGCCTCCCCTAACCTCCTCACTGTGGCTGGGAGAGTAGGATGTGCTGATTAGATTAAATTAGTCAAGGCTGTCCCCTGGCTGTAGAGGTGGAGCCAATCTCACTGAAACCACGTGGCCAAGCATAGGGATGGGATGGATTCCCCACAGGAAACTTAGAATCTTCTTTGTGGGAAACTTGGGAAAAGACACAAGACAGCCAGTGCCCACCACCATCAGGACTCCTAAAACATTTCCTAAGAGAACTCAGGGCCCCTTGATTTGGCGAGAACTACAGAGTACGTGTGCTGAGAAACAATCCAACTTTATTTCCGAGAAATGCCAAGTCAATCTGAAACGACTGCCACTCAGACAGTCCAACGACAGCACCTTTTATGAATTCTGGGTCTTCAGGAGCAACTGCTAAGTTTTTCTGAATCTGAGCATCTTAGCCTGTCACTGGAGAATTGTAGCAGCTTGAATACATAAGCCTCAGCGTCCTGGAATGTCACATTGTGATAGGATTCAGCCACAGGCTCAATCTGATTCAAGCCAGAAAGAGCTGCTTCTGGATCTCCAGAGCTTCCCCCAGTCCAGAGGCCACCCAATCAGTTAGCTGAAGGGAGGGGACAGTCACAGGTACAATAGGCAGCCCTCTTGTTGGCATCTCCCATTGTCACTGGCGCTCGTAATAGAAGCAACGAGAGCAACGATAGTATTTAATAATTATTGAGGGCTCACTATGTGCCAGGCCCTGTGCTAAGTATTTCACGTGTGTTAATCCATTTAACCCCCACAGCAAGCCCATAAGTAACGTACTGTCATCATCATCACCATCATCAGTATTCCCACATGACAAGTAAGAAACTGAGGCTTGGTGAGGTTGAGAAGCTTGCCCAAGATGTCATGCCCCAGGGAAGCAGCAGCTCCTGGTGTCCGGAGAACGTCTTTACCACTGTGCGTCCGCATCTTAGGAAATGAAGATGGAAGAGAGGCAGGATGAGGGAATTGAGCAGGAGAGATTGAAACCCAAAGGGAGATACGCCTTCCGTCCCACCATCCGGCATGATGTTGAATTGGACGACGTGCTTTGAGTTGGGGGCGACTGTGTTTCCTTGCAGGTGAATACATCACCTCAACAGCAAGCCCTCTGTGGGGCGCAGTCGTGACCATTGAGAAACTGGCGAGGAGCGCTGGGCATTAAAGGAAGAGTTTTAAAGTGATCTTGAAAGATCTGAATCAAGGCCCTGAAGAGACCGAACAAGGGGCTCTAGCTCTGGCCCAGAGGGAAGCAGTGGGTACGCACAGCTCCTGGCCTCTCAGGGCCCACCTGAGAAGGAGGCAGTGCCCACACCGGCCGGTCCTTCCATGCGAAGAACAGTAGAAAATCAGAGCAGCCTCACCCGAAACAAAACTGGGTGGGCTTGGGAAGCTTGTACAATACAAGCGTAAGCGAACTTCTGCAGCAGGTGTTAGCATTTTTAATACTCTCTCAAAATGAGGGGGCAAAACCCACCGCCAGGTGAAAGAGCATCTCTGTTGACTTTTGACAAACCTTGTGCTATTCGAGGTGGATCAACACTTATCACAGCCCTTTAATCTGCCAACCAGGGTAGTGTGTGCACAGATCGTTTACCCGCCGTGAGATGGAAATGCTCAATTTGGAATAGCTCTCCCTACCTGGTAAATTGAGCCTTACCCTCTGATTCTGAGGCAGAGAGAAAGAACAATTTAAAAAGCTTTGCAGAGTTCCTTTGTAATTAGTCGCAGCTTCCCTTGAATATTAATTTCCCCCAGCCCTTTCACGTGATTTAGAGACTGTCTCTAGAACTGCAGAGATGCACCCACTGCAGTGAGGGGCAACATCTCAAACACCTATTATTATTAAGTAGTGTGCAGAACGTGCCTCTGTTCTTCAGTTCAGTGTGGGCTTATCAGTGCAAACAGTTTAATATTTATGCTAAGAGGATTGTCAGAAGCAGCTTCTGTTGCTTTAATTCTTGTTTTAAATAAATAATGAGAACATTTAAACACATTACTCTTCTTGGGGCCCTGAGGTCAGCTAATCTTATTATTTATGAAGTGATGTGCTACATAATAGTACTTAGTGCATGTTAACAGACGCTATTATCAGGGCCCGATGCGGAGAGCTGAAGATATATTGGAATGTTATGTGTAATGTACGACGGATTGAGTGCACAGGATGCCAGGATAGCAATTAACCACCCGAGAAAATAGGGGTAAAGTTGAAGTATGTTTTCCCGTGGGGATCCCCTCACCATTAATAATTCCCCAGAGGAGATGTCCTTTAAGTTAGGAGCCTGCTCGACCATCAGGCTTGGAAATAGGTCCAGGGTGGTCTGTTCTTTGATCTCTTCATCATAGTTAGTCCTACACGGAAGACAGAGGATGGGTAGGACCCCTTTTTAATTGATTTAGAGAACGATGCCAAGAAGGTCAGGTGGGGTGGGGAAGGACCACGCAACTCTCCCAGATGTACTCAAAGAGTATTTCTTTTTGGTGCATATGCACTGTCACCGCCACGTGCTCCAAGAGAGTAGAGAAACTGTTCGTTTCTTATTGCAATTTGTGTTTTCTTCTGTCTGATCCTCACTTTTCAGATACATAAAGCCAAAGCCGCTGAGTTTTCCCAGACCAATTTCCAATAAGCTGTGGTCTTTCGGCAAGGTAGATGCCTGCCAGGGTGCGATGATGTCGCCCCAGCTTTTTTCCTACGAGGCTATAATTTCGTTGCGTATGATAATTCATTTCTCTACTATTGATGAATAATCCATTTAATAAAAACCGTGATTTAAGTGTTTTCCTTAGGGAGTCACTCTTGCTAGCCTCTTAATTTAATTTTGTGGAAGTTTTCTCCACCTATTCATCAGTGGAAATGATTATTAACCTCTGTTTGCATATATCCTTATAAATCGGTCTCTCCTTGGAGTGCCTTTTTCTGAGCACAGCAGGCTGGGACACTTGTAAATCTCTGGGATCTCCAAAGTCACTCCCGGTCTGTAATATTGTTTAATCTATTCTTGGACGTTTTAATGCAGTAAATTCAATTTAATCTTTCCCAGTAATCTAGTAATACATGGAAATCCCACAAACATTTAAATCTGATAATGGCTTAATCACACACTTTAAATAACAGTCGAGATAATGAAAAAATAATTCACCATTTTAAAGGCAGAGTGACTGAATTTCCCCGATGATTGGCTTCTACAAAGCCATTAGATCTGGTAATACAGATCTGGGCGTTGGAAAAAATAAAGAAGTTCCAGCACCATAAAGAACAGTTCTTCCTTCTTATAAACACACCTGCTTTCTGCCGCCCAAACTCACCCTTGTGTATCATCACCACCATCATAGCGGATCGTCATTGGGGCATTTGGCAAGCTCGCCCCAAGTTGCCCATGAGTTTGGGTCTTCCAGGCATTTCCTCCCAGGGCTAAAGCTGCCTGTTCTTACTCTTTCAGGTGCCAGTCCCGAATTGCCCGAACTCTACCCGCGGATCAGAAGCCAGAGTGCCGGCCGTATTGGGAAAAGGATGATCCTTCAATGCCGCTGCCGTTTGATCTCACAGATATCATTTCCGAACTCAGGGGTCTGCTTCTGGAAGCCAAACCCTAGAGAAGGAGCGCGAGTCTTAGGTGGAGGAGCAAAGGCTGTTTTTGACTTCTCTCCTTCAACCGTGTCATGGGCTTAGGCAAGGGGATTATGGGTAGACTGGGCCTTGGGATTGTAGACCCTGGGTCCCAGTTGGAAACAGCTAGGGAATGGAGCCCATGAATGTTAAAATGTTTAAAAGTGACACAGTGTTATAGTGATTTGGTATGAAACAAGAACCTCCAACCCCCAAAGCTATTCCCCACTGGGATTCTTAATGTGAGCCATTCCACTCCCAAGGCCTGGGAAGCGACCAAGGTGAGCCTGGCCTGTGGCAAAACCTAACCTACTTTCCTCCTTCCCAAACCTTTGCAGAGACTCTGCAGGGGATGACTCTCAGGTCATCTAGGGGAAGACAGAATTTAGAGACATTTAGCCCATTTTCTCACCACACCCTTCAGAGGCTATGCTGTTCAGTATGGTAGCCACTAGGTAGATGGGGCTCCTTATATTTAAATTCCATTTTAATTGTAATTAAAAATTCAGTTCCTCAGTTGCACGAGCCACATTTCAAGTGCTTGGTAGCCATGTGTGGCTAGTGACTGCTGTATTGGACACAGAACATTTTCATCATTGTAGAAAGCCCTCCCAGACAGCACTTCTATCAACAGTTTGAGAGCGGGAGATTCTGTTTTCCCGTTCTCCGTAGCTGCTCTCCCCACAGGCAAAATAAATTAAAAGAGAAATGACTCGTTTAAGAGTAGCCTCTTTCCCTTCTCTAGGACAGCCTGGGTTATGAGCCCTGTACTCTGCACATAAGAATGGAGCAGTGTTGAAGATTAAAATAAAGTTGACATCCTGTCTTTAGGAAGTTTCCCTGATCTAGTGAAAGAGACAAAGTCCTATTTACATTGCTTCCTGATTTTAGCCAGCATACTACATGTTGTTTTATAATTCCCCCATTCGCACATTACGATGGGTAGAATTGAGGCTTGAAGAACCCTAGTGCCCATCCTGATGATGTGGGGGCACCAGAGAGACAATGAAGAGGTTAAACTTGGGCTTAGGTTCTCGAGTGCCTGGATCTAAATGCCCAGTAGCTTGTGACTTTTGGTGTGTTACTGTGCCTTGGTTTTCTCATCTGTATAATGGGGATACTATAGGCACCAACTCATAAGGCGAAGATGAAATGAAATAACTTAGCTGCAGACTTAGAACAATTTCTGACACATATTTAAACACCCAGTAAATATTAGTAGTATTATATGTCAGTAAGTGACCTGCTGTAGGCATTTTCCCCTCCCTTCCTCAATCTTGGTGCCAGTTTTGTCTTGTGATGCCCTGAACCCACCTCTCCCTTTTGGGCCTGGCTCCCGACCTTTGGTGACCCTGGAAATCATGAGAATAGTTAGCCCCTCTCCCCAGCCCGTCACCTTCTTTGTAGTTGTTTGCAGTAGTTGGAAAGCTGAGGAGCTTTTTTGCCCCTTGAGAGGTGCGCTGAGAACCAGGCTCTCTCCCGCCAGCAGAATCTCGCTGGTTCAAGGTATGGGCTCATTCCCATGGAGTCAAACCCAGGGAGTTCACGTCACACAAAGCAGGCGGGGTTTCCTCATCTTGAGACGCTTCGTAGACATTGGATGAATTCCCTGATGTCTTTAAGCCTCAGTCTCGCCGTCAGTAAACGATGAAGCGCTGCCTCTCAGGGTTGTGGGAGAGATTAAATGAAATCACGTAGGTAAGGAGTGCAGGGCACGTGGAAGTCACCGGCTGGCAGCCTCGGGACCATCTAGCCTAGTGTTTTATTTCACCACCACCCCCACCCCCCCCCCGCGTCTGCTCCTTGTCATAGTTCACTAGGTGCCAATATTTAAAAATTGGGAGATTTCATGTAAAATAAAAATGTGTGCATCCTCTTCAGAATTCAGAACATCTGGCAGCCCTAGGCCTCCATCCTGGCATGGTAAAGAGCTAGGTAGCGTCCTCCCAGGCAGGGCGTGAACCCTCTGTGGCCCCCGTTGCTCCCAATTACCATTTACTGTGAACCTGACTGGCGTTACGCCTTCGTGTCAGCACCCTCCAAACCTGCTTGCTTGCATCCCTAGAGTAGAAATGAATAATAATGTTGAGTGCTTACCCCAATATATGTGTATTACTATCGAGCTATATTTGTGGACTGCTTGTACTAATAGGTCACGTACATCATAAAACATGCATAAACAATAAAAATACTGAAAGGATGAGATAAGAAACCAAGAGAGGTCCTGCTATTTTCTCCTTGCACACCAGCAGGTGGGCCTGCTTCCCTGGCCTGGGGGGCGCCCAGGTGGAGAGAGTCCTCGGAGTCCTGCAGGTGGGGGAAGAGCCAGGGGCTGGAGAAGCCACTTGCAGGAGTGAATCCGAAAGGTGAGATCACATTTGCTCAGAAGAACTGGTGGCTTTCACTAAGCATGAGCTCATTGTATTTAAGGGTTACATACACTCTCTGAGGAAGTTTCAGGTGGGTAGAAGGAGGAAGGGCAAGAGATGATTTTAAAAAAAGGGGGGCTTCCCTGGTGCCGCAGAGGTTGAGAGTCCGCCCGCCGACGCAGGGGACGCGGGTTCGTGCCCCGGTCCGGGAAGATCCCACGTGCCGCGGAGCGGCTGGGCCCGTGAGCCACGGCCGCTGAGCCTGCGCGTCCGGAGCCTGTGCCCCGCCACGGGAGCGGCCACGGCAGTGAGAGGCCCGCGTACCGCAAAAACAAACAAACAAAAAGGGGCTGCTGGGGACGCTGACAGCTCAGTTCCTGCTCCTCCCCTGTGGACTAGTAAAGGACTTTTCCTGGGACCACCTTGAGTCAGCGGTCCCCACTGCTTCCTGTAAGGCTTCCGCGTCCCTCAGTCCCAGCTGTCTTCAGAAAAGTAATCTGAGGAGGTAGATCCCTTTGCACTAAGATGCTACTGACTTCCCCTCCCACAAACCCTTCTTTTTTTTTTTTTTTTTTTTTTTTTTGCGGTACCCAGAGTGTACCTGGGGACTGAGGAAGGGTGGCTTGGATTAGGAGGTCAGGGAATGAAGGTAACGGGGGAAGAGCTTCCCAGGAAAGGGAACAGCGGGGGACGAAGGGCCGAGGCTGGAAGGTGCTTGGAGCGGGATGTTCAAGGAAGAAAAAGGACCACTATGGCCCAAGTAGAGAAACAGGGGAGAGTGAGGGAGATGCAGCTGGAGAGGAGGAGGACCTGCCTTTGGATTTCATGTCGAGCGCCCCAAGAAACACCGAGGGTTCTATGGGGGAGGGGTGGGAATAACTTGATGTGAGATTCTTTTGCTTTTAGATGATCGCTGTGGCTGCTGTCTGGATTCCGAAGGGTCTCAGTCCAAAGGCACTGCTTTGTAACTGGGAATTTCCCGCATCCTCGGGCCAGATCTTGAGATGGGGAAGATGTCCCGCCAGCCCCTCCGAGTGCATGAGGTGGTACCCCATCCTCCTTTTGCTTCCCCACAGCTCTGCACCCGCCCCACCTGCTTTCACGGGCAGCCTCAGCCCAGGGGAGTTCACTAGACAGAAGAGAGGGCGGGGTCATGGCATCGCTCGGGACACAATTTTAGTAATAAGCTTCCAAATCCGTCACTAAACGAATCGAGGGATGCTAGAAATGATATTTCATCGACCCTATTGAATGGACACTCCACATTCAGTAGGTTTTTTGTGTGTGTTTCGAGGGAAGGTATTTTTGAATGCAACTTTTTTTTTTTTCCCTGCTCTAGTTAAGGCTGATTTTACCACTGGGCAAATTGCATACATTTGGATCTATGCCATGCTAAATACTGTTTATTTTGGACATCTGTCAGAGGCAAGCCCATGGAAGACGGGGATTCTTATTTGAAAAGGCAATTCTCATCCAAACAGATTGAGAAGGATAGGAGCAGTGCAGATTAAAATGCACTGAAGTGGTAACGCTGTTTACCCAGTTTGCCTTTGTTACTTTGTGATTAAATGGTATTTTTAATTAAGTTTCATTGGGAGCCATAGGTATCTCGGTGGTGAAATCAATTTGACAACCATAAAGGGGGAGGGAAGGCCCAAGAGTGTTGTAGTGATTGCAGCTGCAGGGAGAGCCGGGCAGCTTTGAGAGGCTGGGCCAGGGAAGGGGAGAGGCCGGGCCAGGGAAGGGGAGAGGCCAGAGAGGCGGCCAGGGATGATTTCCTGCATGATGGCCAGGGTGTCCATGGCTGCTGCTGCTTTTGGGGAGCCGATTCCAGGGATTGTCAGGAAAAGGGATACACCTGGCTCTCTCGCTTACCCAAGAGACACCAGTAGATTCCCAGTCTGCCGGGGAACTCCAGGAAAGGTCCAAAGGGTCTGTTTCTCATTTCTCCCTTATTAACAAGGAGAAAGGGTGAGCGCCCCCAGACCCCGTGCTGCAGCCTGGAAGGACCAGACCTCACCCCAGCCTGGCTCCCAAACAGGGCTGCCCCACCATCCTTCATCCCATCAGCCCCTGTTCTCACGGGACAGCGCCCCTTCCTTTCTCCCAGTACCCTGTCAAGGCAACACAATCGATTGATTGATCTTCCAGGTATTAGGCCCAAATCCTCCTCCCACGATTGAAAACTAATCCCGTCGGCACCCCTGCTCTATCTTTCCTATCACCATTGATCAGGTTTTCAGAATCTTCTGATTCCTGGGTGGCAGGAGAGGCTTTTGGTTGCAGAGTCCTGGTTCCGTATGTGATCCTAAGGCTAGCCTCCCTTTCAAGCCTTTGTTTTCTTGTCTGCAAAATGGGGATAATAGTAGTGTGTCTACCACCTAAGGTTGTCGTGAAGATTAAGTAGTTGATGTGTGCATAAAATGCCTCCAGCTGTGCCTGGCATATACCGGTCTTCAGTGAAATACCAGCTCTAATGATTATTATCCCAGTTTCCTGTGATAACAGTTGTAGCTTCATTACCCGGGCAAATCACTTGACCTCTGTGTGATTCAGTCTTTGTTTCTGTAACGCCTAGCTCGTTGGACTGTTCTGTCACCTCGATGATTCACATTGTGTCTCCTACTTAGTACCAGAACAATATGTTACCATCCCATTCTATCCCATTTGCTTCTCACAGCTTCCATTTTTCTCTCGGCAGATGGCGTGGACCTTTTTATAAATGAGATACTCTGAAAAATGATTCCTTCATACTCCCCATTACTACAACAGGATTAGGTCACCGTTTGCAATTTTAGATTTGCTTTAAAAATTCTTGCCGTCACCTTTTAATGGATGATCTGTGTTCAACAATTGTTTATTGACTCTGAATGTCTAAGTACCAGGGTCAGTCTATTTGCAGGGGAGGGAAGCATTAATTAACTCCCAGCATCCGATTCAGTGATTCTTTTCCAATGATGCAGTTTGTGACTTTGCTTGCATTTTCTTTTCATCAGTCCTGAAAGAATCGAGGTAAAATAGTTCCCCCGCACATGTGTGTCAAGCTAAATGGATAACAGCAGATACAGATCTGTTTGCCTGTCTGCACTTGCCTTTAGACAAAATTCATCAATTTTACAAAAGCTACTGACTAAACATGG